AACAACCCTATTGGATGCTAGGTGTGCTGATAAGAGCAAACACATCTAGCACCGTCGGGGAGGCTCCATCTATTGGTGGGGAGCTGCACCTGCTGGGTTCCTGGTTTTTGTGAAGTGCCTGGCAATATACCTTAGCCCGGTAGTGTGCCCATATCATACGCCCGGTGCAGAAAGGAAGAAATCACAGCCATCTTCTGCTGTTTACTGCGGAAGGAGATATAAAGAGCAGTGACCCCTCATTCAAGAGGCATTCCTGGTTTTTGTGAAGTGCCTGGCAATATACTTTAGCCAGGGTTGGATGCTCACCAATATGTAGTCGACAGCCAAGATAAGGCCATTCATTAGAGCTACTAGTCTTCTCTAAAATCAGATGCCGATCATAACAACTTTCCTCGAATGCGCTGAATATCTTTACCGCTATACTTTCGGAAAGATGACTGCTCAAATTACCTTTGACGAAAATGGATACATCATCAATTAGCCGGCAACCATCAATCTTGAATCATTCCCCAACCTTTGCAAAAAGACGTACTCCGAGTCGCTATGCATGCACATTAAACCACCAGTACTTGGCCCAGCTATCGGCCTGCGGAAAAAAATAGAGTAGAAACGTTTCTAGTCGGATGAATTTGGGCACTCCTGTAGTTGCCCGTACGTTTCCTAAAATCGTGGCGCTTTAACAGGCACGACTCTAGGAAGTACTGGTGGTTTAAGCAAGCGAGCGAGCGCAGGGCTGGATGCTTTACCCATGGGAATCCCCAGATGTTGCTTGACCACAGTGTCACCACACTACCCATCGCCATCCTGTAAGTATGGCGCAGATCAAATGCAATAAACCGGATTAATGTCAAGAATTTCACTGACTTGTAAGTTGAACCAATCTGAGACTCACTAACCACAATAGAACACAGTCGAACACGTTTCATCCGAGGACAGTACAGAAACTTAAAAAAAAAAAAAAAGTTAAAAAAACCCTTTTTCCTCCAGCAGACTGACAGCCCATTCAACGGCTGTAAGAATAGCTGGGTGTGGGAGACTGCAGAACATTTCCTTAACTTCATACCTACGACCAAAAATCATGTCCTTCTTACCTATATTATGGTTGACTGTGTGCAGAAAGGAACTTCAAGGTAACAACTGCATACTTCGTAAATTGAAATGACTATGTTTCGGAATCCTCCTAATAATCTCATTCACGCAGGCCGAAGTAACACCGGCAGCCTTTCTTGTGGGTTCAGACCACGACGGACAAATAGGGCGCCATTTGTTGATGTCCTTATGTTTAGGCAGCACATAGGATCTTCCCAGCTTACCGCTACTTCCCCATGTTGCCAATCTGTTTAACTTCTCGGATTTATACAAGTGCTTACATCTCAACAATACTGTCCCCTCGTTCTCAGAGATCCTACATAATCCCGGGCTATCAATAAACATTGTCCGCATTCCTTGCGCATACAAAGTCGGGCAGCAAACATATGTATCACCCATGTTATGATCCAGGGGGGATAGTACCACTCCCTGTAGTTTATCCTTTCAACAATGGATTGCACAAACAGACAGAGACTTCTTCTCAGTAGCGCTAAAAGAAATGCACTCAATCAAGGCAGAGGATGGGATATGAGCATCCTTCCTAAAGAACTCCGAAAGTGAAGAGTTAATCTGCTTATTTCTTGTGTCATATAATCCAGACACACAATATTCTTGGAATTACGTAATTCAGCAGGTACAAAATCAACTTGACTAAACCTGAAGGAAATATGTCCATCAGTCCTAGGAAGAATCTCATCCAACAAATCACAGTTGCAAAAAACCGGCTCAGCAACAACGGCAAAAGAACGGTAGTTATCTAACAGATCACCTATAGCTTTATCCCGGCCCCTTGTTGTACCCCGCACATGCCGCTCTGCATCACCCACATGGGGGGGCATGGTCATTCCTCCGGTCCATCCCCAGCCTTTTGGACATTCCACCACAGTGACTTTCCTTTTCGGGACGGTGGCCAGGCACTTTGCTCATCCCACCACTTTCCTTTTCCTTTACCCAAATCAGATACGCACTTTGCCGCAAAACGCAGTCCGCTATGGGGCCCCGGCAAAACCGATTTCCATCTTTCTCAAATTTCTTCGACCTCTTTTTATGGCCAGATGTTTTTTTTTTTCCATGGTTTCTCCTGTGGGGTCCAACCCTTCGTCCATTCGTAGAGTTTCAGACTGTAGTCTCCGATAATCTTCTGGGCACTTTCCTCTCCCTCCCGCTTCCAACTCCATTCCACTCTGGACTTCCCATCCGGTCCCCCTGGGTTTGTCATCATTTGTGTGAGAGGAGGAGGTCCGGTCTTGTTTCTTTTCTTTTCTTCTTTCTTTTTTTTTNTTTTTTTTTTTTTTTTTTTTTTTTTTTTTTTTTTTGTCTGCACTTGCTGTTGTATTCCTTCGGTGAGTTCCTTGCCCTCCAGTCTTGCCCCTTCCATCTCATAAGTGCAACGCCCTCTGCCACAGTGCCCAGAGTATGGCTTTCCTGGCTGTTTTGGATATATTGGTTGTGAATTCATATGCCTGTTCCGGAGGCCAGGTCTCTCACATAGCAGGGCTCTCCAGTCCCATGGCCAGGTTACTGTTGTTTCCAATCAGTCCCAGGTCCTGTCCCACCATCTCCACAGCCAGACGGGGCCCGAGCACTCAGTCTGGAGAACTCAGTCTGGAGAAATATACGTTCGATGGTTTCTGGTCTTTGTCCTTGATGGAAAGGCACTTGTGCATAACGGGCCCCAGGGCAGGGCCAGCCCCGTTTGTTCCAGGGAGGACCTGTTTTTTTTTTTTTTTTCCAAACAAAACACCCGAGGTAATGCTAGGGGTGCTGCTAGGGTTGCTGATAGGAGCAGGCACCACTAGCACTCCCAGGGAGGCTCAGCACCTGCTGGAAACTGGGTTCAGGGTCCCGAACACAATGTAGTTGTTTTGTTTGACCAGACATTTGACTGGACTAACCAGCAAGCAGCCTCCAGGGAGGACCTGCTAATCAGCCAAACAGTGGGAAAGGTAGTGGTGGTTTGAGGATAATCTTTGAAGCCCAACCAGTTCAATTACCTGCGGAATCTGGACAGGACTGTCTTTCAGGCCTTTTATTGTAGGGAAAACTAGGGTGCAGTCACCGTTTTCAGTTTTAGATTTTTTTATTATTATTATTTTTTTTTATTTTTATTTTTTTTTGGGACAAAAGCTCCAATCTATTCGTGGGGAGCAACACGTGCTGGGAACCGGGCCCAGCGTCCCATGTAAAATTTATACAAATGATTTTAAAATGCCAGGGCCATTACCTGGCTTCGGCTAAGAGCAATCTGAGAACTTATGAAAAAATGCAGAAAAAATCCAGAAAAAAGTAAGAGAAAAAGTCCTTCGAATGCTCAGAATCCCTGGAAACCCCCACAAAACACTATAAAATTCTCTAACACTGTCTAATTCCCTGCCGGGCTCTCCCAGACCTCATGCCCCCACCCTGCTAGGTTACACGGCAACACAACTCACCCCAGCTCCGGCTGCATTGTCCCGACAGCAACCCTTGGTTTTCCCTTGGAATGCCCGGCCCAAGGCATCCCCAGATCTCTCTACCAGGCCTCACGCTCCTGCCATCGACAGGTTCCAGGGCAACCCCCCAGCTCCGGCCAGCGTCGTTCTGGCATCAAAAAACTGCAGGTCCATGAATCTAACAGCAACAAAGAAGCTTATAATGAGTTGCAAGAAGTACTACCCAGAATTATGAGTTGCAAGAAGTACCCAGAATCCTAAGTCATTCTCAGGAGAACCGCCACCTACCATTTGATGGTAATTATGAAAAACAGAGAGACAAAAATCAGAAATGAAACCACCACCAATCCCACTCAAACCCTCAGTACAGGTGAGAAACCGCGGCTCAGGCTTTCAGTCCTCGTACCAGAAGCCGCCAGTTCCCACACCCCCCTTGCTAGGGTTACCAGGCAACACAAACTGCCCCAGCACTGTTTTCTGACGGACAGGAAGTATCTTCCTCCCTCGACAACTTCCTTAGCTGCAAAACCCCCTACCGGTTACAGGGTCACCGCCCCAGGCATCCGCTATGTTGAACGAGGTAGTGTTTTTTTTTTTTTTTTTTTACCAAACAGCCCAAGTGAATGCTAGAGGTGCTGATAAGAGCAGACACCGCTAGCATGCTTGGGGGGGCTCCATCTATTGGTGGGGAGCAACACCTGCTGGAAATCGGGTCCAGCGTCCCTTGACATTTGAAAAATGTTCGTTATGAAGATTTTCCGAGCATATATATGCATGCCACGTGTCCCTTCAGCTAACAAAGAGCAATCATCTAAAAATCCTCAAAACCGACACGTGGACACACCAGACACCTGATGAGCAGCATTGATTGCCCTCAGCTGAGGGGATTAACTGCCCATCCGATCGGAAATCATATCCCTATTGTAATTTCCACATCATCAAGCACGTAGCACGTAGATCCTTATCATGCCATGCGGAGGAGAGGTAATCAGTAGCGGCTGTTTATCTCTATGAGGTCGGAATACCCTCTCCGAAACCCTTATCATCAGATAATAAGGAGGGGAATTTGGAGCAGGGATTTCCAGAAACATCAGCACTGCACATAGCCAGTTCAGGAAATCCACATAGGCAGGAAATACCTATCGATACTGCTCCATGCTGCTGTACCTAATCATTGTTTCATCATTGTTTCATTACAAGTCCGCCCGATCTGCGACGACCATCTGCGAAGGCGTACAAGCGAATTGATTAACAGATTTATATCATATTGCCCTCAACTACTTTCCCCCCGATTTTCAAAATTCATAGGCGTATTTTAACCGGGGGGTAAAAACCTTACCTATCCTACCCCTTCCCGCCACCAAAGCTCCCCCCCCAGTCCCGTGCCGTCCCCCTGTTCTACACACATCCCAATCGCCCAGCCCTGTCGCTCCTGACCCCACAATACAGAGCAGCAACAAGAGAAGGGAAGGCGAAAAAGGAGGGAGAGAGCCTGCCCACCACCCTGTCCTTCGTCAGCTCTGTTGTCACCCGCTATATTACCAATATCAACACGGTCATCGCAATAGTATTCGTTGCTGCGCGTGAGATCGGAATAACCCTGCGCCACATACATCAGATTCCCAACATCGCTATCCTCGAAGTTGAAGACACTGTCGTTTTTGTAGTTGTTGTTATTGTCATTATTGTTGTTGTTGTTGTTGTTGTTGTTGTTGTTGTTGTTGTTGTTGTTGTTGTTGTTGTTGTTGTTGTTGTTGTCCAGCGTATGCCCATCTTTGATATCCTGAAGGCTGAAGCCACTGACATCGTTGTTGTTGTTGTTGTTGTTGTCACGGTTTTCACACTTGGCGATAGCCCCCTCCTCTAACCGATTGTAATCCTCGTTGCTCGCAAACAGGCACTCCTCCCGTTCGCCGTCGGTCCCCTGCCCCTCCTCAGGTTCCCCGCAGCCAATCACCACTTCCTCGATAGGGAAGGTAGTCGAGATAGGAGTATCATTTGCTTCGGTCGAAGCATCCGGCGACGAAGGCAGCACCCGCCCCTCCTCAGGCCCTGCGCCCCATAGCCGTTTCCGAAATTCGACGAGGAATCCCTTCACCTCCCCCAACACTTCGGTACAACCCCCCAATTCCACCATCACCTGTGCTCTCTCGATGGCTCCCAACCGTTGAATAGGAAGATTTTCACGGAGCTCCTCCTCCCAGCCATTGAACAGCTCCTCACCTTCCCCCAGAAGGTCCGCGGGTAGATTGTGCTGATGTTGAATAAGCACGGCGTAGATGTCCTCAACCTGTCGCCTATACATCCGCACCATCTCCAGCGCGGCCCCCTCCTCTTCAAACACGGCAGCAGCGACAGCATCCTGCATGGGTGCTGTCTCCATCGCCAGCTGCACCGCGGATGTCGTCATGGTTGAGGCCGTTGTCGTCATGGTTGAGGTCGTTGATGTCACCAATTCTACAGTTATTATATCTTATTGTGCTGCTCCCCAATCAGCCGTGCCACATCTTTAATCACAAACTTAATTCTGTCACGCCGACGTGCCGTCTCCTGCAACTGCCACGTGGAATATCCCCCACCTACGCCTGGGCTGAAGCACCAGACGGGCAGCAGGACGACCAAGCACAGAGGTGGCCGGACGTCACCACCCCTGCACCAGCCCACGGAGTGCGGCCGGGCCTTGCCGGCCCGTCCGTAGCGCAAGTTAGCGCTAGTGGCCAAAAAAAAAAAAAAAAAAAAAAAAAAAAAAAAAAAAGCCTTCCACCCTCGGCATAACTCCAATGGCCTCAGGCTCCTCTTGGTCACAGAGCCACTGCTCCAGCACCGGCCAAAGTCGCCCCAACCCGCCCTTCTAGTAGACTTACCCCCCTGAGCCACCCTTCCTCTACTGCACGGACATGGCTGCCCCGTAGCAGCCACGTCTGCGCTCAAGCCTCCAACGAGGGAAAGAGAGGGAGCTGCACCCACAGCGCTGCACCCACAGCAGGTGGCGGTACCGGCCAGGATTCAGCAGGTAACATCAGGGCTTAACTTCTTCGATGAGCCAGTTGCTGTGCCTCCCCTCCGGTCCGCCGGTCCGCTCACCCTATGAACATCAGCAGTCTCAGCTCAATGCCGGTCGGGGGGACCACCGGCCTCTCTCTAAGTGGGGGGCACCAAGCTTGCCCCAGGACGGTACACAAGGCCAGTGGGGATTAAACCCAAGACCTCCTGAATGCCACTGGATTTTTATTTTTTTTTCTTGGTTCTATTCTCACTTCTCCCCCATCTCTCAACAAAGCTCCCTTCCCCTCGCACCAGGATGTGGCAAAAGGATCAGGTGAAGGATGTACCATTCGGCCACATGGGCTCTTTGCGGTCACCGATGCTTTTCCATTTCTGATCCCGTGCACCTTCTTCTGACATCTTCGTATCTTATTCTTCTTCTTCTTCTTTTTGGGTGGTAACTTCAGTAAGAGTTACAATTGCACTACGACGGGGCAAGATACAGTTTGCAATTGCACTTCGGGCACCATACCTGGCCAGAAAGTTGGGTTGTATGCATTGCCCGGACTGCAATTGCAAACTGTATCTTGGCCTATAGTGCAATTATAACTCATTTTTGTGACTCCCGCGTAGTGACCGCTTTTCTTTTTATCTTTTATCTCCACATCTTTATGAAATATGTATCGTGTCCTGAAGGGATGCTGCTTCCAGTCCCCCGCAGGTGCACCTCCCCATAGTCGCCACCAATAGATGGGCCACGTAAGCGTCAGTGGAGGCCAGGCCTGCAGCTGCAGGGTTTCCCTGGGGCTGTAGGCTGGCAAAAAAAGAACAGACTTGAAAAAAAAAAAAAAGATATGAGCTGTATAGTTATAATTAGGGATTGCAAATACGAAAGTGGGTGTGAAGTTTACTTGAGCAGGCCACATGTATCCTGTCCTTTTTTTCATTGGTTGTTTTCTTATGGCCACAGTCATGCTCTGCATTCTGCGCATGAATATAGCACCACTGGAGCCTGGCAGCTGGGGTGGGGGGAAGGTGCATTTGGGACGCAGAGAGAGAGAGAAAGAGGAGCATAGGAGAACAGGACAGCCTGGACACCTTGCTGACAGCAAAGATCATTGTAGATTCATGCTGGCTCCTAGGGTAACGGAAACCAGAGGCTCTGTCTGTGTGTGTGTGTGTGTGTGTGTGTGTGTGTGTGTGTGTGTGTGTGTGTGAGAGAGAGAGAGAGAGAGAGAGAGAGAGAG